CACGCTGCTATTTCACAGGAGGAATTCAAGGCAAGAAAGGCTAATGTTCTGGGGTACTGCTTAGGTATTCATCTGTTGTCTAGATGTGCCTTGTAAATCTTTCTTTTAGCTCATGTCCAATTTAAGCTCAACCAGTAATCTCTACATTTAACCTTGGTGTTAGCTTCTTGTAATCCCCTGCCCAGTTCACAATCAGAGAAGGTCAGAAGGTTAGGCCAGTCATTGCTTTGCTTAGTGATGTCAGTCAAACAATGTAGACAAGTTTTAGGGGGAACAACCCTGACCAAGCTGTACTGCTTAACTGCACCAGAGGCCAGGAACTTGGCTGCCCTGATCACTAGACTTGCTGAAAAGGATTACAAATGTGAGTTCAGTTTAAATGCAAACTGCAAATTAACCTGATTTACCAGTCACAACCCCAAACTCGCATCCTGGCATCCATCAAGTACACTTGGCTGCTACAATATCTTTTTTTTGGCTACCAGTATGTGTCAGGGAGGCACATTAGAGCAATGTGACAAGGAACTGCAGCCCCAGCCCAAAAGTGCCTACCAGGCATCGGTGTTGGCTAACAGTGTCTGTACTACAATTTTCAGGAAGCTGGTGATTTTTTTTTTTGGGGGGGGGGTTGTGTTTTATTCTTTAGAGAATGATCTTGAAACTAAGGGCATACCATGACACCTTATAATGCTGCTTTTCTGTGAAAGATCTGAAACACTTTATTATACCAAATTATGGATTCAGAAAAAAAAAAAAAATCAGCAGCATCAACCCCAGCACCTGTTTGTTGGTCCTTCAATGTGATTGTCAGCTTCAGCCACCAAAAGTAAGGTGTGTGAGCCAAGAAGGGGCAAGTTCATAATGGAGAACCCTTACCTCCGGGGCAACGTCATTTCTGTCCGGTCTACTTTAAAAAGAAACTGGTTACCTATATACTGTATACTGATCAGCCATAACATTCTGACCACCCGCCTAATCTTTAGTAAGCCCCCCTTTTCCTGATCGCCCTGTGCGGCCGCACGGCTCGCACACCCCTAAGGCCGGCCCTGCCTGACCCGTCCAGGCATGGACTCCACTAGACCTGGAAGGTGTGCTGTGATATCTGGCACCAAGCTGTCAGTAGCAGATCCTTCAAGTCCTGTAAGATGTGAGGTGATCGGCCTCCATGGTCCAGACCTGTTTTTCCAGTACATCCCACAGATGATCGATTGGATTTAGATCTGGAGAATTTGGAGGCCAAGCCAACACCTCAAACTCATTGTTGTGTTCCTCAAACCATTCTTCAACCATTTTTGCAGAGTGGCAGGGCGCATTATCCTGCTGAAAGAGGCCACTGCCATCAGGGAATACTGTTTCCATGAAGGGGTGTACTTGGTCAGTAACAATGTTTAGGTCGATGGTACGTGTTAAAGTGACATCCACATGAATGGCAGGACCCAAAGTTACCCAGCAGAACATTGCCCCAAGCATCACACTGCCTCCACTGGCTTGTCTTCTTCTCATAGTGCGACTACCAGAGGCAGAGGCATCATGGGATTTGTAGTTAAAGCACAGCGGGAGCGCCACAGTTTCCCGTCCCCGATTTAGGGGTTAGGTTAGTGTTGGGATCAGAGATTAGGTGGTTTAGGGCCAAAGTTATAGATACTTTTGGAGCTGGCTCCAGACATTGAGCAGAGGGGGGCATCCCGGACAGGTGGCAACCCTAGACAGCAATCAAGACCTGACAACTGTTCTAATCCTTCTCCACTCCATCCAACAGTTGGATTCATTTAGGCCTGGGGTAGGCAACTCTGGCCCTTCAGCTGTTGTGGAACTACAAGTCCCATGAGGCATTGCAAGACTGACAGTTACAGGTATAAAGCCAGCTTTACACCAGTAAAATGATGTGTGAGAAAATTTGTTTTTGGAACTTTTGTCCAATTTTATTTTTATAGTTAATGGGGTCAAATCGACGATCGTCTTCACCCGTAGTGACAAAAAAAATCTAAAGAATTTTTCTTGCAGGAACAAACGAAATTCCAACAGTGAAAGTGCTTTGTGTTCAGGAAACTCCATTCGTATCCAAAATCGAATGTTCAAACCAACTGGGATTTGGAATGACATTCGTCAAGTCTCTGATGTTATCATTGAATGTTCTGACCAGATTTTTCTGTAGCGCCCATCACCTTTTGTGATGTGACTACTATGCATTTAGTGATAGCCGAGGCTGTAGACAGCCTGGCTGGATTTATAGTGGCGATTACATGGTTAATCCCAGGTGTCTAACCTTGACTGTACCCCCCTGGGCAGAGTGAGACTCTGTCATATTGGGGGACAGCCAAAAGGAGACATTGTAATATATGTACAGTACAGCAGCCAACCACTGGGCTTGTTTCAGCCAGTGGTGCCTGCTGGGATAGTGTACATATATGTGTGGGAGCTGCCATGTGCTCTCTCTCGCCTGGACCAGCCATTGATTAGAGCTGGGTCCTGTTCAGCCTGCCCCCCAGGCTAGGCCAAGGCCTGGGGGTGGGCATAGGCTGAAGTGAGTGAAGATGTTTCTTTGAGGCCTGAGAGATAGAGAGAGGAAAAGAACCAGGACCAGTGCAGGCTCTTGAGGTGCCCTGGATCTATGTGGACTTCAGAGCCTGGTCAGTGTTTCTTTCTTGGATTGTGGATATGCCTTCCTACTGTTAAAAGATCCGGTGAGTCTGGAGCGGATGATGGTTACCACTTAGGGTTGCCACCTGTTCAGGATTCATCCGGACAGTCCGGGTTTTGAATACTGTGTCCGGGTTTCATGGCAGCTGAAATCCGGACACATGATGTCAGGCAGACAGGGGCAACCAAAATGAATATATGGGCTACTGGCCCCCCAGTGAAAATAGTCTCAACTGTGATATTTACATATGAATGGGTGACCCTATTTACATATGAATAAGCCACGACTCATCCTCCCCAAAAATTTCTGTGCGTCGCTAGAGTGTTCGGGTTTCGCTGGAAGAAAAGGTGGCAACCCTATTACCACTAGACACCTAGAACCCCTGTACCCTCCCTCCCTAATCAGAAGTTCAATAAACTGTTCAACTAGCATTCTAAAGGTGCCCATACACTGCTCGATTCTCGTACGAGAATCGGGCGAAATCCTGCGATCGTACAAGAATCGAGCAGTGTGAACTAAGACGTGCGACCGTTTCTACTGTACGGTCGCACGTCTTTTGTCGAGCCAACATGCTTGAAAACCAGCCGAGAATCATACGATTCTCGGCGGGTTCCTAGCCTGCTAGCCCGATAGCTGCGGAACGGGCCAGTGTGCGCACGCGCACACTGCCTGTTCTGCATTGCCGTCATCGGAAGCCCGCCCCTCAGCGGGGCGGGCTTTCGATGATCGCAAGTACGATCTGCCCGTCCAAGGTGGGCAGATCGTACGGGCTTTTAATGAGCATACGACCATCGCAAGACAAAAGTCTTGCGATGGTCGTAAGGTGTATGGGCACCTTAACACTGAAGTGGACATCAATTTATGTGCATCAGAAGAGGGCGGATAGTGCTAATGGGCGCAGCTGCAAATCAACCCCTAGACCGACTAGATGTGGACCGGGGAAACAGCGGCTCCCTGTGGGGAGCTATCGCTACATTTCCTATGGACGTTTCCTATGAACTGTACAGCAATACCATGCACTCCTTTTGTCAACCGAACCACAACGCATGGTATTGCGGTACCGCGTGTTGCACAGGCCCTGTTATACGGCGTGTTGCACAGGCCCTGGTGTACCGCGTGTTGCACGGGCCCTGGTGTACCGCGTGTTGCACGGGCACTGGTGTGAACGGATTCTAACTGCATGGCCAGCTTTGGAGGGAAAAAAAAATACAAGACTAAGCATGTCTGGCTGTCATGCTGACCCCCTTTCCTTTTTAAAGGGAAGTTGGCATTGTCAGCCCCCCACTTTTCATTAAAGGAGAACTATGGGTTTAGGGCTTTTCCCCATAGTTCTCCTTAGGGTAACGAGGACACAAATTAGCGTCCTCCTGTCACCCTAAGCACAGTATACCGCGAGCTTCAACTCACGGTATA